TGTTCTCTTTGTTGTGGCACAAATGGGAAGCGAGTGAGTATGTGGAAGCATTTTGGATTTGACCCCATAGTCATGAATAAAGGAATGGATGTTTACTGCCTTACAGTAATGTAATAATACACAAGATCATAATGTTCTTCTCCACAGATATTTACTAATAGCAGGTAAACACTAAACTTCCTGTTCACTTTGACTCTTTTTTCTTTGTGGAGCATCCAGGCAATTTAGCCTCATTTGCACAAAATTAAGATAAAAATAAAATTTGTGTTTGTCATTTTTTTTTTTTTTTTTTTTTGCAGCAGTGCTGGTCTGTCCTGTGTTGCCTCCAGAATACCTAGTGAAATGAATTGTTCTCATCTTGTAGAAAAGAAATGGGGCACACTTTGAGACATGCCGTGTTTGATGGGTCTTCACTGTTTGTTGCTTAATTGAGGCAGTGGAGGCGCCACAAATGAACAGAACAACAGCAGTAGAATTTGCACAAATTAATTGTCTCCTTCATTTAAACTTTTTGAAAAAAAAATTGGAACAATGTGGTGAAGCACACACATACAGTACCTTATGTCTCCATGAAAGATTGGCTCAATAGTTAAGATTTTTGGACATTAGCTATTATAATTGGAGGAATAGACATTACGTTAAGTAGGCTTGGGTGAAGTTAACATCTCGATACAGTCCAGTCCAAATATCGCAATATACAATATTGTTTTATGATATATACTGTTGTATTTAATGTTTAAGTTGTTTTTGTTTTGTTTTTGTTTGTACCTGTACCTGTACATTGTACCTTGGCTGTGACAAGGTACAATGTACAATAAGCAAAGAGCAGACTGTGCAAAACAAATATCGTATATGGTGGGAAATATCATGATATATAATAGTATCAAATATTGCCCCAAGCATAATGTGAAGTGAGAACAGTGATCAGAGATATTCTGCAGCAGGTGGTGGCCAGATAGACAACAGTTAATAACAGGAAATGGATTCAGCAGCAGAAATGTTGAAACAGATTTGTCCTTACACTCTGTACAGACCTCAGTTTAAATGATGCTTACTGCTACAGGTTTCATAAGGTTCTGTGAGGCACCATTTCACCATTTGCTCACATCTGCCGACTTCCAAGTGCATCCCATAATGAAGGACTGTGTAGACTGAACACAGAAAATTGTGAAACATGTCTACCTAGACACCAAATGTAATGTAATGTAATGTAATGAGAATATCAGAGCAATTACATTGTTGACTCACTGGATGGTATAGTTAATAATTTACCTGGGGTACCACTAGTGTTGGATTTTTTCATAATCAGCACCATAAACAGTTCAACTAAAACCAATTTTTCACCACACTCTTCTGACCAAAATCTCATCAATGCTTCACTGTAGCTTCACTTTTCTGTAAATGTACTGTGTCCTTTCGTTTTTTAACCCCCAAAATCTCCTACAAGGAAACATATTTTTTAGTGACTTGATTACTTTAACTATTTTTAGAATGTGTTCAACTGCTTTGTGGAGAGGCAGTAAGTGAAGACAAGGCACAACTCTTGTGAGAGGAAGCTGAAGAAAAGCAGCAAACAGCCAGATGGCAAAGAATAAACAAGGAAGAGATAAAGACAAGGCCAAGGTGGTGTCAGGACTGTTTAGTTAAATCTGTTAACTGACATGTCTAATTACAGGCGGGAAAGATTTAAGAAGTTCTGTGGCGAAGCAGCTGATGGGAGTTATGTCAGATTGGATTGGTGCGAATGTTGAAGACAGATTGAAAATGGCAGTAATTAATGTAAAAAGTGTGCGCTTATTATTTGCTGTCTGCTGTCATGATAGATTTTGTGTGCACCAAGCTGTAGAAAGCACAAACCAGGCTTTTTGCCATGAAAAGAATGCTTGGTTTGAATTCTCTTGAGTCTCTTGAACATGAATGTACTAATATGCCGTACATGCAAATGTGTTGTTGGGAATATGTTTTTTGACTTTCTCTATTCTCTATCTCCCTCCTGTCTCCATCCATCCCTCTCCACCTCTTTGTTTCTCACTCCATCTGGCACTGTGATAATCTCTGTCTGTGGAGAAACGCATATTGAGCTTGGCTGCTTTACATCTGAAACGAGAGAAACATGGCTGCCTGTGCACTTTAATGCACATGCTTTTAAAGCTGCAATGATCAATATTTTTTACATTAATTGCTAAAACAAATTGTGTAATGTGAAATGGATCTCTCATAGTGATGAACCTACAGAAATGTAGTGCTGAACTCAGCAGTTCTCGCGGCGTGGTCGCAGTGATCAGCTGGTGATCATAGTGGAGTGTATAGCAGGTAAAGAGCCAGATATGTTTCGCAGAAGCTGGTGGAGACCAAAATAAGCGAGGTCAGGTCGGTGAGGGTTGATTATTGTGATTGGCCAGTGAGCCCACTCCCGGCACACTGCCTGCCAAGGACGGTAAATCCACAGTGCTCCTGATGACCAGATGGTTCATGGTCAATGTGTTGAGAGAGAGAGAGAGAGAGAGAGAGAGAGAGAGAGAGAGAGAGATGCATGGATGAAATAAGGTCTGTGGTGAACAGAAGCTCAAGACATTTTCACATTTTATTCTATGGCATAAACTTAGTTACTTAGTAAATATATCAGTACTGCTTTCTTTAAGCTTTCACATCTCCTATAAAGGCTGGTTGCTAACAAGTGTCTAGATGAGACTACAGAGCTTGTTGAGGACGTTAAACGTCATCACACTGAACATGAAAACCGATCTACTCATCAGTCCACCTTTACAGCCTTTACAGCACCTTTACAGTGTTTTCCTTGCGCTCTTACTTTGTAAGAGGAAAGGCTTTTGTAGAAGAGGTCAGAGCTAAATCAAGTTTGTTGAAGTTTAGTGGTGGTGACGTTGAAGTCATGTGATCATGTTGTAGTTTGTTTATAGCCAAACATTAGGTTTTTATTTCTGCTGATTGTATTATTGTAAACATAGCGAATCACCTCTTGTACGTAGATGTAGTGGTACGAATCTTCTCATCTCACCATTGCCATACATAATAAGTGTATTCCAAAATGTCAAACTACTCCTTTAAATCTGTCGTGTGGCCAGAAAAACAAAATGCTAATGTTGCTCTTTGTCTGGATGTATAAACGCACAACTTTTTGTGTTTGCTAACACGTTCCTCATTATAACTTTGCAAAGTGGATGGAGGTCAATGCCTCCAAGTGACAAAACAAAACAAAACAAAACATAGAAAACAATGACGTTTTAAATCTTAAAGCGGCTGTAATCAGCACTTTAAAAAGGAGCTGTTTGTAGTGATGAACCTACACAGAGTAATCACCTGAATATTTACGGAGCTTTATAGTGAGTTTCAGTTCATTTAGCAGTCTGGCTTATGACTTTATGGTATTGCTTCATTCCCACCATTTTCAACAGCAGCTGAAAAGCTGTAAAGCCATTGAACACTACCTGCTCAACAGCAGACTAGCTGATAAACATAGTGGAGCATTTAGCAGTTAAACTCCCTAAGGAGTTGGTGGAGACCAAACACAGAGTTAAATGAAAAGGAATACTGGACTTTCCTTTACTAGATGGACAGAACCACATCTCCAAATGAATAATGATGTTGCTCTTGGTCTGCTGGACGTGTTAATAAGCAACTTTTAAGTGGTCAACAATCTAATACTGCAGGTTTAAGGATTTGTCTTTGACATTAAATATTTGTTCAAATTCACTCAAAATGAAAGTTTGGAAAGAAACATTTGTAGCTGTCACTCAGCTTATCTGCTCTATTGAGACTACAGGTGTGGTTTGATCAACAGTGGCCTGAAAACAACTGTCATCACATTTTGATCAATCCTGGATTGATGCACAGAAATACGTGACACCATGACCCTCTTATCCATCAGAGAAGCCCGTGAAGCAGAGCTAACTTATACTGAACTTAGGACGCTAACCAATTGCACGCATGACTTTCTAATAGTGACCCACTGTAGCCTTCCAATCTGCCCTGAAGACGCAGCGCTGCTCAGAGGAAGTATTATAACCTCTTGTCTTATAAACGCAACAATGGCCGAAGCTCTTGTCAAGTGACAATCACCACCACCTGCTCATGGCAAGAAAACACGTTCAGAGGCAGAGAAATATTACAAATTGCCTCTTATATAACACTGTCTTCATGTGTTCACCCCATCTCTCACGGTCAGATGCTTGAAAGAAAATTAAAACTGAGAAAATAGATTTCACAGATAGGGCTAAGGATGTGGACTATTGTACATACATACAGTGCACGTGATTAGTGTCCAGTTTAGTTTGTAGTGGGCTTGTAGTACAGACCCACTCCACGTGTGCACAGGGGTCCACCAGGATCCAGATAAAGAAATTTACTTCACGCTGTCCCTCACAGAAACCACAAATTGGCTTCGTCCTCCAGCTGCGCTGCTCTCTCTGGGACCGCTGGGAGTTGTTAGGAGGATAACAGAAATACCTTACAATAATCTTTTCATTACCTTTTCCAGATTTGTCAACTTGTTCCGTGGCCGCTGCCACCCTGTTTGATCCCTGTTTCCTACTCTACAGAACACATTGATGAGCACACAAATATAAAAAGGACTGTGAAAACAGCCTCTGCTGCTGGTAGACTGCAGAGTTCAGTCCAAGCCTTCGCTCAGTCTGCCTCACAGGTCAATGACAGGTTAATAGAGGTCATCCCTGCACTCCATAACTGCGCGTGTTTGTGGGCCTGCGAGTCCCTATTTTGACACCATTCATTCAGTGCAGCTGTGAGGCTGAATATAACCTTGGCTCGCAGCATCTATTGAAGCGAAGTGTACTCTGCTGTAGTGGAGAAAATTCTCCTTCATTCCCTCTAATTAACTCTGCTCTCTCTCTGCTCCGCTTCACTCTTCTTCCTTCTGCATTGCTCTCTCTCTCTCTCCGCAGTCTGTCTCCCCCCCCCCCCCCCCCGTCCTCTTCCTCTGTTGTCTGCATCTAACCCTCTGTCTGAAATTCTCTGTCTTCCAGCAGAAGTCATCTGAAGCTGCTCCTCCCTCCACCTCACCATCCTCCCAGGCTGACAGGAACAGACAGGAGGTACAGGTCTCCTCTGTAGTCTGGTGTCGTGTTGTGGTGGTGGTGTTCTGCTGCATTATTGTCCTGTAGAGTTGTTGTGGTGTTGTCATCATGTCCTGTGTCACTGTTTTGTTGGCCCTAGTGAAGGCCACAACAGTCAACTTTATTCAGCCAGCGGTAGACTATTTGATCGGCTCATAGTTACTCGTATAAACCGTCAGTGCTGCCACTAACGGCTATTTTTCTATAGACTAATTTTATCAATTGGTCGATTAATCTAAACAATTAATTCCCCTCCAGAAGATCTACTTTACACACACTCAGATTCTGGTCTAAACATTTGCTCAAATGCTTATTCAGTGTAAACTCTCAGGCAGCAGTGGACGACTTAATGGCTTTATGAGAGAATTTAGCAGCTACAAGGACAAAAGATATTAAAAAGCTCCGTCTACTAATGAACAGACAACAATTACATGAAGTCATCCTTCACATGTTTGTGACTAATCTCACTGTGCGCCAAAAAAATAATAATCACAAAATAACTCTGGTTAAACAAGACTTAGAGTGAAGGAATTTAAACTCATGCTTCCAAAGTCAGACACTAACCAGCTGTAGGGATGGGTATTGTTATCTTTACCTTATCCATACACTTATTGATCCAGGTCACACTACTACTGATTCCTTGAGTCACAGCCTCTGCTCTGCTGTTCACGCTGTGTGTGTGTGTGTGTGTTTGTGTGTGTGTGTGTGTGTACTGAGTGCAGCCCCACCTCTGTGCAAGTGCAAACATAGATGATAAAATAGAAAATAAATATATGAATAAATCACTGAATGGGAAACGATGCGTTGACTTAAAATATTGATGTTGATGCATTTTCAGTGTCGACATCTACCTGTGGCGACTAATTGCAGCAGCCCCTAGCGCTGTTCAACTAATGTTGGCTAATTTCTTTCATTTTAACCTCATAAAGTATTTAACCACAAAAAAGATGTCATTTTATTTGACAGTATAGGAGATCCTTTTCTCTTGAGCTCTGGTTTGAAGGCTTTATTCAAACATCATGTAAAACAGGTCACTCACACGTGAACTTTGCTAAACTCAAACGCTGTCTGTGGAAGCCAGAGATCAGAAAATTGACACTTGTTTTTGTCCTTTTTTCCTAATTACTTTTTACATCTTGCAGCAGTTCAACAACATTTTATCAAATCTGATTTCAGCTCTGCATCGCTGTATTAAATCCTTGTTAAAAGCCTTCTTTATTGAATGTAATTAGGTTTGGCTTTTAAAAAGTTAGAGATGACTCAAACTCAAAGATCTTTCATCAGCTTGTGTTGGATGAGAGGACAGAGACGCCTCAGTTTTAAGTAGCAGTCTGATTAATGTTCACAACCAGCTCCAGCATGAAGACGAGATGAAATGAGCAGAGTAATTGATCAAATGTATCTTCACACATTGAAGAGTTTTTCTCATTTTTCATTAGCTAAATACTGGCGGTCCTCGTGCAGAACTGTTTAAGTTGATAAGCTTAAAGTATTGATTCATTCAGTGACTGGAACAATCAACAGCATCGTTTCTTTAGAAGGGACTTAAGTTTCACAATGGAACGAAAAAGAGGTGTCCGCGGCATCTACACTACTTTCTGCTAACAATCAAACAATGCAATATCTTACATTTCATAACCATGACTGTTGCGCAGCGCTGCGTGTCAGTGATGATGCAAAATGAGTCTGTGTCTCCTTTCATAGCCACTTATCCTTGACCTCGGCTGGAACACGTCATGAGGTGTGGAAAGATATGATGGAGAATGCCAACTGCCATAATTGTGGTTTGGCTGAAAGAGGGAGGGGTGGAGGGTTGGGGTGGGGGAGGGCTTGTGATTATTGCCCCTCGTGTTAACTCTTTAAATATGTGAGAAACAAAAGCCCCGTGATATGTGGAGGGAGATCTCAGCTGTAATTTGCTGTGTTTTATTAGTGATGATCAGATGGGAGTTTAATAGCCTGGGTTCACATGGGAGTATAATGCTGCTGGAGAAAATTGCCCAATGCTAGCCTCATTAGCTCATAGAGTCACAGAGGTGGTGCCTGAGCCAGAGCCCCAGATAATACACTCACACTCACTGATGGATATGTCAACAAAGAAAATGTAGACAGGCAAGAATATGAAGTTATCAATAATTTAAGGTCATTTACTAAAGACCAGACCAGAGTAGAAACCAATATCTGGCCTCTATTCTGCTGAAACGCTTTTGACTTCGTTGCTCTAATTTTTTTGTCTTCAAAAATCTTCAGAAATTAAAATTCAAGCAAAAATAAACATATCTTTCTCCCTGGGTGGAGCCATCATGACATCTGACCCTGGCTCTCTGTGGGTGACAGAGTTTATAATGTGCTGTGTTTGGTTTTTCTATATATATATTTTTTTCTCTCTCTCTCTCTCTCTCTCTCTCTCTCTCTCTCTCTATAT